GTGTAGCTTTGCGCGAAAATTCAAAACAAACAAACATACGAACGTATGAAAATAAAATGTTCCAATATTCTCATTGCAATAAGATGTGTTTGCATGTAACGAAATAACTAATAAACAGTTTTCGTTATCAAGAACGTCTTTACTTCTTAGCCAGATATGTTTTCCGCTCTGTGAAGTGATCTTTGTTGGACTTTGAACCGTTTAGTGGTTCTTGATAGACTGAATGACACTAGAACTAAAGGGGCGTGGAGGAAACGAACAACGTCAGTAATTGAACTTAACCACTGAGACACGTCAGTTAGTATGTTTTGTGTTAGCATATTTCATGTATTGTAATATAACGCCCGTTTTCCTTTCTTTCTTTCTCTTTATTATAGCATAATTGTCATAATTTATGCAGTTTTTATTCGAATAACTTCTAAAACTTTACGTTAAAACGTTAAAAGCTCATTATTCTAGTTTTCGGTTTATACAACAATTATGTATAATGCAGCTGTACATTTTAATAGAAAGTTTTGGAGACAAATTAGCCGATAGACAGTCACCGCCAGGTACTTGGCTTTCCCGCAACATGTAGAAAATTGAATTAATGTTCAGAGCGGACCTCTTCGGAAACTTGTTTGCTACAGTTGCCTCCTTTAACTTTATGCAGCTTCTGTGAAATCAACGCAAACTCTGTTTTTCCTCCAATATTTTTTCGTGACTGTAACTGTCATGTGTTCGTTTATCAACCTTGTAATTTTTCTAAGGAAACTCGTATATATACACACAGGTACAATTGTTGTTGTGGAGACACCTGCCTTGTGCATGCTCCTTTCTACAGAGGACAATCCCAGCTGTTTTATGCTTTCAAATCGGCGATTGCACTGATTGGTTATCAAACTTTTGTTTATATTTTAATGATAGACAGATAAGTCGAGGGCAAAGAACAAAAACAACACAGATGTTTTTTTTTTTTTAGACGTGGGTACGTGCGGTGGTGAAGAAGACGATTCTGTGGATCAGAAACAGAGGACTCGCAAAGCGGACCCCACAATCATATGAGACAAACGCTGAGATGATGGTTTCGGTGATATAGAATTGAAAGCAGTTAGTGTTGTTTTCTGACAATAGAGTAAGGCACATGCTCAGTAATAGAGTATTTCTTCAGAACACTGGAAAACAAACTGTTAAAGATTTTCAGTGTTAGTGTGGATAGATGATAATGAACAGTTCGGAACGGTACATTTTTACTGCCTAATTGTGAAAGTTCGTTGTTAGTAACCTTATTGGATAAGTGAGGAATTTAACAATAGAAAAAGAATATACTTAAGTTTTAAGTATTCCACTCAGTTCATGATTTGTATTGCGGATTAATGCAAGACGAAAAGTATCACAAATGAAAACTATAGAATACGTCATTTGTAAGTATAGCGTTACCATCGTCAGTTTATATGAAAAAATAGCATAAACATGAGATGTTTAATGTTTTACTATATTATTACACACACTCACAATCCCAGTAAACTCTATACCACACCATTAAAGTATTTTTAGATTTATAAGTTATATTTCCATATGTACGTATTGCTTGTAGAGAGATGGCGATTCCAGTGATAACAGTTGTTGATTTTATCCAGCTGTTTCTTTAGCTTTTTGGAGCGGGTAATATGTTTGATCACATACATCTGACGTCAGAGAATAAAAGGACTCAAGTGTACAATCACGTGCATAATTACTTATGCGCACTGGATCGTGCAGAAGGACAATGAAATGAGCGCGCGTTTGTATATGCATTTAAGAGGGTATTGCGGATGTAACTAATAGCTCGTGCTAGAACATGGCAGAGTTATTGATTTTTCGCAGAAGTATAGGTTTACGCCACCTTCTTTGCAGAGAGTATCCTCTCGTCTATATAGTGGTTTCGTAATGTGCTGCCCTCCCTAAATACTAACCGTAACATTGTGATTGTGAGTAACATCGGGTTTGTTAGTATTTTAAACCTTTAGGGTAAGGCTAATATTTGGAATTACTGTACAGTGCCGTTTGTTTCATTTGTACTTGATTCATTGCATGCGAAAGTTTCTTTTTGTTGCCGTCAGATCATCGATCATGGAATAAAAAACTAAGGATGTTATGTCAACAATGCGCTGTGTCAGAGTCCCAAGAGCGTGAAGGAACTAGATTATATGCAATATATTGTGTCTAACTTAAGCCTCGTATTGAACAAAATAAGCTACCCGATTCAAGAGATTACATCCCAAATCTCTCGTTTTCGTGTAATTTCATGCTCCTTCATTACATTCTGTACTCAGATGAAATAAAACGGAGTTTCTGAGAAGTCCAAATGGTAAGCTTAAGTTTAAACATGATTTAATCATGGTACAACTACAAGCTTATTTGATAGAAAAATAATAAGAAATTACTTACGGAACGGCCTAAGGCTAAGAACGGTAAGGTAGTGCCTTAGCCAAATGTAAGCTTAACTGTAACGTCATTATAAATGTTTAACTTGCGTACTGTAAAATATACGTAGGAAACTATGTATATTCATTCTGTTATTTTTTTTAATTGTGCCATGCGTCTGAAATTTGTTTATTTCTATTCAATACTTGAAATCACAGTGGCAGTTAAAAGCTGTTTTTTTAACTAAAAGTAAAAAATACTGTTGATTTTAAACCAACAATTGAAAATTGTACACGTGGGCGCCTGCAGGAAGGGGCAAGAGGAGGCACTTTTCCTCCTTACATTTAACACAAAATTGCACGTATTATGACGTAAACTTAGCATCGTAGTTAAGCTATATATTTTTAGTAATTTTTATTAAAACTGTAAATTTGTTTTTGCATTTAAGCACACATAACATATTATTTTAGTCTGTTGACTTACACTGTAAAAGTTGATCCCCTACATACATGTTTTGCCCCACCCCCCGTTGAATATATTTCTGTGTGTGTCCATGATTGTACAGGCAAACAACTTCGTATAAAATCAGATAACTTATGATTGGTTAATGGAAGTAAAAAAACTTATAAATGTACAAAATGTTAGTTTTCTTATATTAAATAAGTAAGGTCTTGTCAAGATAAAAAACAACAACTGAGGAATAATTCTAACAAGACAGTGTTTTATAAATCTGTAAGCTCTACTGACCTCCAAAACTGCTGTGGCAACTAATTCCATTAGGCTAATTACCCTGTTAGAAAAATAATACTGTCTTAATGAGCTTAGCCTGTCTTTTTGAAATTTTCACCTTATTTCTTCTGATTCTTTTGTTTCCAAGATACAACAAATAATATATCAGAGGCCATTACTCTATCAGTCCTTGGATAATCTTGTAAAATTTAATAATATCACATTCTACCCATCTTTTCTATAATGGGATCATAATTAATATTAACTTTCAATCATAGCAAGTTTTATACTTAGAGCAAAACTAAAAATCAACCTACTTATCAGTATAGATCTTAATCTGTCCCCACAAGATAACCATTCCATCATTAGAATCATCCTAAAAGCTCTCATCAGAACCCTGTCCAGTAAGTCTATCTTTTCTTAGATAAGGAGATTAAAACTGTACATAATTGTAAGTGATGCCTAACTAGAAGTTTGGATAGACTTATTTATAATAATTATGGCAAAAATACATTCTAAAGCTTTATTAGCTTTACTACTAATAAAAGAGCATTGCCACCATGGTTTGAGTGATATAACCACTACTTTGCTAAGATCCTTTTCTTCACAGTGGGTTTCTATCTATATTAAATGCTTGTTCCAAATTATGATAGATCAAATGCATTACCTTACACTTGTATGTAAAAGCCATTTGCCAGCTATTTATCAAGTTATTCTATAGCACTTAAACATCCTCAGTGTAGCTAGAAATACTGAACAGATAATGTCATCAGTGAACTTCACTGATTATACTCCTATCAGTATCATTAATGTAAATAAGAAAGAACAAAGGCCCAAGCACTGACCTCTGGGGCACACCACTAGTAATAAACGTCCAGTTTTAATAGACTCCATTAATAAAACCTCCTGTTTT